TAAAAGAATAAAAGGCAGGTATTTTTAGAAAATATTCAAAAATGGAAAATTAACCAAAAACTGGCCCTGATGTAGAGCTAACACAGGCAGGAGACAGGGCAATCGAGAGCACACACCAACAGAAGAGTCTTTTCTTTTTTTGGAATATTTTTTGTATTTTTTTAAGAATAAAAGGCAGGTATTTTTAGAAAATATTCAGTAATGGAAAATTAACCAAAAACTGGCCCTGATGTAGAGCTAACACAGGCAGGAGACAGGGCAATCGAGAGCACACACCAACAGAAGAGTCTTTTCCAACCAAGCCAACCCAATGCAAGTCTTTTTCCTACCAACCAAGCCAACCCAAAGCAAGCAGCCCTCCCAGACCTCTCTCCTCCCTCGCCTCCGCGCAACAAATGAGCTCTGCGGCCACGCGGAGCCGCTTTTAAAGGCCTTGCCGGCCAATCAGACACAGCCACGGTGCACTGCTTGGGTGCTTGGGAGCGCCGGATTGGCTCCCAGGCACCAGCATCCTCCATCCCATTTCCGAAACGGGCGGAAGCTCGTTAAAAGAATGGGGGATGCCGCTTCGTTATTTTAAAACCCTTCCGGGTTTGAAAATGTGTTTTGTAATCGTTTTGTAATTATTAAAAATAACGAATAATTAACGAATTACAAAATTAACGAACGAAACCGCCCAGGTCTATTGTTTATCCAATATAAGTTTACATTTCATATCTGATTATTGATTATTGACCTATACGTTCTGTTGTTTTTATGGGTATATATTACTTTGGTGTATAATCAGGAACCCATTTAATTCATAGAGGATTTTCACCACCATTCCCCCATTCCTGCAGTGATGGACCTCTCCAGGCTTTGTGGGAGATCTTGGCATGCATTTTTTATGGCCAAGAAATAGACACATCACTTGTATCCAACAATATTCCAGAAATGGAATAACATCTTCTGGCGACATTGTATGAAACAAAGATGGTGGCAGTTGGGAACGAATAAGAGCATTTGGATCTTGAAATTGCAATTTATCCTGTATTTTTATGAACATGATCCCAAATGGTCCCACAATACCATGCCCTCCAAACCATCTCAATTTGGTAGAAACCGTCTCAATCAAGTTGGTGCCATTCCATTTTTTTCAACTGCTTTTATAGTGTCCCTTTACCTGGCTTATGCTTGTTGGTACAAACAAAGTTCAAAATATAGCAGTAACTAGAATTCTTTTAACTCAATGATGGGAAAAGAGAAGGAGGCCTTCTCAATCAGATGAGGCAAAAGCAAATTGCTCCAGCATCTCCTAGCCTTGGGTTCTTCTACATCAGTGGTTCTCAACCTTTGGGTCACCAGATATTTGGGCCTTCAACTCCTAGAAATCCTAACAGCTGATAAACTGCCTGGGATTTCTGGGAGCTGTAGACCAAAACACCTAGGGACCCACAGGTTGAGAACCACTACCTATGGCCATTTTGACCACACTATGGTCAAGCCTGGCAATAATGTGTCCTCATTTTCATCTGTGAAATATTGGAGGGTATGTGGTACACATGACTCTTCACATCACCCTGGATCTAGGTAGTTGTCCTTCCGCACATCCACCCCCTTCACCGCCCCTTGTGAACTTACACCACCACAGACTCCTGGCAAACAGCAGTCAAAGAGATCCGGTTGTTTCTCTTTTCCTCTTGGGCTGCAGGAAGTGGACTGGTTGAGCCCTACTTGGGAAGGGACGCTCCCCATCAGCCCCGGTTACCACTTGGGGCTGAGGCTCTGCAAAGTCTGGTCCTGAGGAAGGAAACTGGGCAGCCCTGTGGGGGAAAATGACTCCAAGGAGACCCCAGACTGACCTCATAATGGAAAAATGAAATCACAGAGCTATTTGCCTCTCAGTTTGTTGAGGCTAAAAGCGTCTCTATCTATATCCTAAAGGTGCTATCCAAAAAAATGTGTCATGGGGATAGAGCCAAACAATCTTGATCAATCCTTTAAAAGTTTTCTCTCTCTCTCTCTCTCTCTCTCTCTCTCTCTCTGTTTCTTTCTTTCCATCCATATCAGCCTTGCACATATACAATCAGCTATCCACATGTCACTTTCACCGTGGTTTTGTGCCTCTAACCCCATCTGCAAGATGGGGTTAGAAGCACAAAACCATGGTGAAAGTGAAAAATTGTAAATAACAATTTGCTATTTTTCCCTAAGAAAATGCCTTTTAGGAATACCTCCATCATGACCCTATGGTCAGCTTCCACTGGAATCACACTGGATGATGCATGGATTCCTTGATAGGTGCTCTTTCTAGGAATGTCTAAGCCTTCTAGCCTGGCTTTATGGACAACTTCAGGAGTTAAACCCTTGTGCCAACAGAACTGATGACCAACAGGCCGCAGGTTCGAATCCAGGGAGAGTGTGGATGAGCTCCCTCTGACAGCTCTGGCTCCTCATGCGGGGACATGAGAGAAGCCTCCCACAAGGATGGTAAAACATCAAAACATCCGGGCATCCCCTGGGCAACATCCTTGTAGATGGCTAATTCTCTCACACCAGAAGCGACTTGCAGTTACTCAAGTCGCTCCTGATATGAAAAGAAATGGACAACTTCCAGAAGAATTTCACAGAGGACCTAGAGATTCCTACAGTGAACAGTTTAATCAAATCCATGAATGATCAAACTTGGGCCAGCTTTAGTCTACCTCAGATGGCAATTGATGGGTGGTGGTTGGGAGATGAAGATGCTAATGCTGTGGGCAATATGAGCCATAGCATTCATATATAAAGTTATCTTGACATTGATTCCAAATGAGATAAATTCTTCCTTTCCTTAATGTTACCCTTCTGTCCAGATTCCAGAGGATTCTAGGAGAAGAGACACTTCTCTAAAACGGCAACATACTCACAACCTCTGAGGATGCTTGCCAAAGATGTAGGCGAAACGTCAGGAGAGAATGCCTCTAAAACATATAGCCCGAAAAAACTTATAACAACCCAGGCAACATCCTTCTCCAAAAGAAAGTACCAAGAAACCTAAACCTGTGCTTTCAGAAAATAACCGCAAGGAGGCAGCAGACAATCAAAAACCAGAGAGAAATGTAGAGCACTAAGTAAGAGGATTCTCAACCTGTGGGTCTCTAGGTGTTTTGGCCTACAACTCCCAGAAATCCCAGCCAGTTTACCAGCTGTTAGGATTTCTGGGAGTTGAACACCAAAACAACTGGGTACCCACAGGTTGAGAATCACTGAGAATGAGCAATGAAGTAGTAAATAACCTAGAAAAGTGGGGTCGATCTGGCGAAATAAGGTTCCCAAAATACCGACATTTTCCAAGACTCCTTAGGAATTATCAGTCAGAAATATACTGAAATGACAAAGCAATAAGAAATATAAAGATTGAGCTTTTCTTATCCAAAATTCTGAAAGACTCTAGAATCCAAAATTGTCTATATGATTAGCTGAGGTAGTGACACCTTTGCTTTCAGATGGTTCAGGGGAGAGGGCAAATTACTTTCTCCATCACTTATGCATCCTGAAATAAGGAGACGTTTGCAAATACTTCTAAGGTGCACTTAGAAGTACTTGCTATGTGTTTAATCTACGTAGCTTACTCCCAAGTAAGTGTGCATAGGATAGATTATGGATAGCGGTTGTTATTCCTGGGAGGGCTCAAGGACAATCACTATTGATGTACACCTTGAACATCTGTTACCTTAAATCAGTGGTTCTCAACCTGGGGTCCCCAGATGTTTTTGGCCTTCAACTCCCAGAAATCCTAACAGCTGGTAAACTGGCTGGGATTTCTGGGAGTTGTAGGCCAAAAACATCTGGGGACCCCAGGTTGAGAACCACTGCCTTAAATGCTTGAGACTACAAATGTTCTGGATTTTGGGAGGGCGTGTGATTTTGAAATACCTGTATTTACATGTATGTACATAATGGAGATTAGGCCCAAATCCCATCTCCATTTGCTCATATACCTAATATGCATAGCCTGAAGATAATTTTGCATAGAATGTTTTAAATCATTTTGTGTTGGTGTTGCCATCTTGTCACCCATGTGAACAATTTGGGATTTTGTTGTATATGGAGCACAAGGGAATCTCAACCTGTATCATTAGCAGCCAACACCTGAGGACTGATATGAGTCCCACCTTCATTAAAATAATTGCACTAAATTGCTGTTGAGTTTAAGAATTGCCATTCTAATTTTCTATATGAGCCATGCACATACAGCATACAGAGAATAATAACAGGAATTAAATAGGGGGGATCTTAAACCAAGTCCTCAATCACTCCTTGATTCTCGGTCCAGATCATGAGTTATATCTGAAGAGCTTTCCATTTAGAATGAACTCCACCACTATTAGCCAGTCCCCACTTTTTTTTTACCCACTGTTTATTACATTTCTTACTTTTCACCCTGCCTTCCAAGTTTCTAAAAAGCAGCTCAACACAATAACATTGTTCTGAAAAAGTGAATTAAATATGGCTGGCATAACTGACGGTTGCCATTCCTACCCTGCAGCTGTCTATTAAATGCCTGATGAAGCAAACGTTGGTGGTTGATATACACACCTTACGGGATGCGGTTGTAAATCAAGTCCTCATTCCCACAAATTTGCCAATCCCAAATTCCCAAGAAGGCAGGATTGAGCTTGTTTGGTATAAACAGCTGAAGCAAAACAAGGAGACATATGTGCTTCTTATCTTCTTCTGAAGATGCATTAGGTAAAGGTTTTCCCGTGACATTAAGTCCAGTCGTGTCTTCTCCATTTCTAATCCGAGGAGCCAGTGTTGTTCATAGACACCTCCAAGGTCACATGGCCAGCATGACTGCATGGAGAACCATTACGTTCCCGCCGGAGTGGTACCTATTGATCTACTCACATTTGCATGTTTTGAACTGCTAGGCTGGCAGAAGCTGGGGCTGACAGTGGAAGCACACGCCACTCCCTAAATTTGAACCTGTGACCTTTCAGTTAGCAAGTTCAGCAGCTCAGCCATTTAACCCACTGCGCCACAAAGCCTCAGGTGTCAAAAGCCTGAGATTGGACCAGGTTTTGTACCTTGGCCATTCTAGGAGAAGGCAAGGTGTAGCCCTCCAGCACTTGGCCTGCAACTCCTATTAGGAGCAAACCATCACAGACACTGCTGGGAAGCTCCAGTCCAACAACTTGTAGAGGACCACATATTATCCACCCTGGTTTAGAAGAAAACCCATTTGCCATGGTCATCCATGAAAACAATGGCCCCCCAAAAGAAAGAATGAGGTCCAAGACACCACAAGGAACAAATTCTTAGACCAATCACTTTATTAAACATACAAAATTTAGTACAAACCAAGGTAAGTATTATAGAAAGCACCACAAAGGCAGGGGATTCAGAGAAGGGAGCAAACACGCTCCCCTATCCCATGTTAGAGAGGGCATTAATATGGCACCACAGAGCCAGTGCACGCACACTTTATCAAAGAAAGGAAAAGGCCATAACTCCCAAAATTCACAGGAGTTAGGGACAAATCTTTTGGTGCCTCCATTAATCACATCTCCTCCTACCTCAGCCAAGGCCTCATGAAGTAGGGGACACAATTCAGGGTAAAAAAACAAGTAATATTTATAAATTAACAATCAAAGCAAAGCATTCTGTAGGATTTTCCCCAACCAACATGGCACTTAGTACAGATTATGTAGTGCCAATGTGATAGAGGGGTGTATTTCTTAGATGGCAATCCACAACATGAGATAACTACTTAGGGGTTTTCCCCAACCAACGTGGCACTTAGTACAGTATCATGTAGTGCCAACATGATAGAGGGATGTATTTCTTAGATAGCAGTCCACAACATGAGATAACTACTTCGACTCAGCCACAAGCCTGCTTCCATGGGAATCTTCCTTTGTCACCTTTGCCACCACTAGATGGGGCAGCGAGAGACCACAGCAGAAGAGGTCCTCCAAATGTTTAAGTGCTAAGAACCTTCTTCATCTGTCCTAGAGTGTTTTGAGATCTACAGAAATATTACTGCCACCTACATTTGCAAGAGGGAAACTAAGTACATTTGCGAGAGCGAAACTAAGTACAGAGCATGTGGAAATCCACCAGAATTGTGTGTTTTTAATCATGGAAGCCACACCTCAAGAGACAACACAGACACCACATATCCTCCCTTATACATACAACACAGACACCACATATCCTTCTTCATACACATTAGTTGGAAGAAATGGTTGTGGCTCCAAACCACTTAAAGGCTGGTATGTCTATGTATAAGGGAGAATATTATGTTAATATGATATTGTCTCCTCAATTGGACCAGGGAATCCATCTCTTGGAACATAGTGAAGTGTAACTCTTCAGATGTTGCTGAATTTCAGCTCCCAGCATGTTTAACCTTTTGCTATGCA